AGTTTGAAAGGATAGCCGAGGAAGAGGGAATTAAGCCATTACGGAAAATATAAAACCGTTCCTCCTTCCAGCTTGACTGGAAGGAGTGACCATGCAGAACTTGCCATACATGTACATAGCCTCTTTTCCAATATTTATAAAATCCATTTACACATTTTCTCAGCTGTTTCCCCTGACAACAGCTGAGATCCTGGAATCCTAAAATGTCTGATACAATCCATTACCTGGATTAGATCCTGGAATCCTAAAATGTCTGATACAATCCATTACCTGGATTAGATCCTGGAATCCTAAAATGTCTGATACAATCCATTACCAATGTTTTTCATTTGACAGAAGGAAGACCTAAGGTCCAGAGAAAGTGACTTCCCCCAGATTATTAAATTTTTCTGTTCCTCTAAGGGTGTAACAGCACAAAAAGCAATAATCTATGTGACTTAGGCAGGGAGGCCAGGTTAACGTAGTGTGTTTGGATTCTGACCAACTGTGTGATCTTAAGCAATGTCACTCATTTCCCTGAACCTCAGGGATAATAATAGCACCTACCTATTTTCAAGAATTAAATGAGAAAATGAATTAAAAGCATTAATTCATGCCTGGTACCTAGCAGGTATCAACAAATGTATCAGTAATTATTACTATAGTTACTACCTCTGCTAATAGCATAATAACCTATGGAATAATGAAGTCAGGAGTCAACATAAATAATAATAATAAAAATAATAATATTACAATAATAAAACTAGAATTTAAATATGAGCCTATGCACTTGACTAATTGCTTTAAGTACAGTATCTAATTCCAACCCTCCCAATTCTATAGATAAGGAAACTGCTCTTTAGAGCTTAAAAATTGGCTCAAAAGCTGGTAATGATTTTCCTAGGATATGAACCTAGCTATCTCAGACTCCAGAATGCACATGGTTATTCTGAAGCAAGACATTAGTCATCTATAGATTAAGGAGAAATAAAGAAAAGGAAAATGTTTAATTTTATGGGTGAGGTCCTTTACTCTTTTCCCAACTAAGAAAGGTGAAAGGCTGCATTTCAGAGCAAAATGGGCCGGTATCAATCATTTCACTTAACCGTGTCAGACTTTTATAATAAATGTTTTGGCTAAGTGGAAGGTCACTCAATGTCAGTTCGATACCCTTTAACAGGGAGCTAAAAGTCAATCCTGCCATCTTGAGATTTATCTCAGATGTACACTAAAATTGCTTGGTTTTCTATTGATTGATTGAGCATTTGAGATACAAAAGCTTGAGAACTGGCCGCTATTTATTTGACGTGTCCCTATATCTGTTAAACTTGGAGCAGTGTTACCTGCTGTTTTAACTTGTCTTGAAGCTTCCCAAATCTGTCCTTTTTAGTCGTGTGGAAAATGTCACTTGTTTGGGAAAAGGGTAACAAATTAAGGCCTACTCTTTTCCCACATGTGGATATTGAGATTTTATTTACGCAAGCTGTTAACCAGGTTAACTTTACCCGCCTCCTCCTTACGGATGATGTGGGAGATGGGGTATGGGTGCTTCTTAGAGGCGCTCAAAGCCCTCTCAAAAGTGCATCTTCAGTCAAAAGGCTCACACGTTACAAAATATTGGAAGGAGGGTGCCTTAAATTGTGCAATCTGTGAGGGGTCTCATTTTTCTGGAATTCCCTGACATCTGAGCCCTCATGCTGCTGGAAGGGTTCCAAGAGCACTATAAAATTAGGGCTGGTCCTGTCTGAACTGAGTCCAGATCATTTCAAAGTGACTCAAGGCTGGGAAATAAATATTGAACCTAGTTAAATGTTGCTTGAGATTATGCTTGGCACTGGATGTCCAGTCACTGATTTACTCTTTGGTTACATGGGTTATTTTGAGCTCCAATGGATATGCCAGGGGAGATTCATTCAATGGCTGCAATTATTTGCAAGCACATTTGCATTTCTGACACATTTAGTGGAATATAATGTAAAGATTTATGGGATGGTACTGGGTGGGTGGAGAAGACATAAAAGTCTTTGGTTTCATGCTACTTTGGATTCAGCTTTCCCACTCCTTCTCTCCTGTTACTTACCTTTCTTGAATAAACCTTTTCCTTTCTTTTCTTTTGTTCATTTGTTCGTTCATTCTTTCTTTCTTCCTATCTTTCTTTCTTCCTTTCCTTCTTTAGACATTAACTTACAAATTATGAACAGTAAGAAGTCAGAATCAAAGAAGTCAAAGGAAGAGTTGTAATGATCTGTGTAGCTCACCCTACCCCTTTAAACTGCCAAAAAAATTGGGGGGAAGCTATTTGGAAAAGAAATGTTTTAAATGGCCGTGTTTAATAAATAGACTTTAATAAACAGACTTTGAAGAAAAGGTTCAGCCACACACCTGCTGAGTTGACCTGTGGACATTTTCAGATTGGGTCTGATGTCAGGTTTGGTACATCACGGCCACAAATGGAAGTCACATGCCCTTCTTTCCTTTATCAAGAGGAGGACACTCCCCAGGGCTGAGTTTGATCTTGATGTGTGATCTGAGGCTCTAGCTGCTGTGTCCAGTCCCAGGCCAGCTAGGCACTGGAGAAGCATTCCACTAAGAGCAGCCTTTGGAGTCAGACCCACGTGGGACTCCTGATCTGCACGAAATTAACTGTTGACTTAGGACAATTGACCAAAAACTCTCTAAGCTCCGTTTCCTTATCTCTAAAATGGGGATGCTAAGAGTTCCCGCTTCACGGGGCTATTGTGAAGATTTAATGGGTTAATGCATGTAAAGTGCTTAGTTCAGCACCTGGCATGCAGTAAACAGTAAGTGGTAGAAATTATAATAATTCTCCAAATGTCAAACCACCTCTCTTTCTGAAAGGCCTGCAGACTCTGAGCACAGATGTAACCACAGCCCTCAGCCCCTACAGATTTTGGCCCACTGTTGAGGCAGCTCAAAGGCCTGGCAGGGGTGGGATTTGGGGGGTAAAGCAAGGGGTGCACCATGGCCGTCAGGCGGGAACCCCCTTCCAAGGACACACAGCTATTCCTTGCACTACACAGGGGATTCTCTGGCTAGGGCCCGTTTCTACATCGGCCACAGCAAGGTGCAGGCCCCTGTCCAACACAGTATAAAGCCCAAGTCTCTTCAACATGCTTATCTTTTGAAAAATTAGACACAAGACACCAGAGTATAGATTAAATCCTGTTAGGAAAAAAATCAATAAAGAATATCTGTTCGGGCGCCTGGGTGGCTCAGTTGGTTCAGCGACTGCCTTCAACTCAGGTCATGATCCTGGAGTCCCGGGATCGAGTCCCGCATCGGGCTCCCTGCTCAGCAGGGGGTCTGCTTCTCCCTCTGACCCTCTTCCCTCTCGTGCTCTCTGTCTCTCATTCTCTCTCTCTCAAATAAATAAAATCTTTAAAAAAAAAAAAAAGAATATCTGTTCAACAAAGCTCCAGACTTAGACTGTCTTCTTTCAAGAACTATTTGATCCAACTTAAGTCCAGGAGCCACCCTTCGCCTGTGTGTAAGATTTTCTAGTTCCCGATGCACTTCCCCAAACCCTATCTTAACCTGAGCCTTCCCAAAGGTGGAGATTGTTATCTCTGCAGTAAGAAGCTGATACTCCCGAGTTGTAAGTCCAGTCGCTCAGCTAACACCTGGCTGAGTTCTTTCTTGATCCCAGGTCTTCTGACACCCGTGTCCCTAGCACTACACCCACTCAGTTTGTTCTCCGCACCCCAAACCCGACCACAATCACCACCTGGCACTAGTTAGAAACATGCCCAATGCACAGGCTCTGAAGAAGGGCACAAGTTAAATGGGGTGTGAAAAGTCTCTGGTTTTAAAATCTAGTCATGAATCTGTGCCAGAGGCGAAAGGACTCTGTGGAAAGAAACAGAGTCCAAGAATTTCTGGAGGGCCCTCACTGGTGAGCTTTAGGAAGCAGACTGAGATGAGGAGTGATTTACTTTGTGAGCCAGGTAAATGTACATACCGTGGTAATTTTAATGACAGCATGTCCCATAGACCTCAGACATAAAATAATAGTCTCACCAAAGGTAGAAATGAATGGGGATTTTACAGAGGTAGATTAGCTGCTGTTCTACCAGCCACAATAAATTATTTCTACCCTTCCAAACACAACACTTGCTGAATCCCCATGTCTTGCTGCCCCTAGGCTAAGTGGGGAAGAAAGACCTGAGCTGGTCCAAAGAGCAGTGCTACAAAGACAGACAAAATGGATCCAGTGAAGTTTGCTCCCTCTCCCCTTTCCCACCATTGGAAAATGAAGACTAATGGCGATTAACAACTCTTGGTAACTACGTATGGACTATTTCTCAGAGAAAGCATGATTTAAACCAGAGCTATGAAATGGTTATTTCAAAATGTCCCACAGAGCCCTGTCCCAACCAGACCTGAGCCTGTGGAGATAGATGTGGACATTCCGGGTGAGCCAGAGCCTCCACACATATTTTCCAAAGGAGCCCAGCTCCTTGACTCTGTCACTGTAAGGAGCACAGGGAGACTATCTTTTTCAGGGTATGTTCCAAAGTGGGTTTTTTCCCTCATTTTTAGCCCAGAATAAAAGAGGTTCTTTCCCATGCAGAAAATACAGCCCTGCCCTCCCCATGATGAGAGAATGCTCAACACAACGCCCTCCCTGAGCTAACTTAACTGATGGAGCTCTCTGTAAGCAGCCCCTGGACTACAACTGAAGCCAACTGGAGCATGCCCAGTGTCGTCCAAGATCCCAAGATTTGGTATCATTAACGTCCATAGACAAATCAGCTGGCCAGTGGCTGGTGTTTTAGTTGCCTTGGTGGGTCAGATTAGGAAGCTGCTACAAGTCCAAAGGCCACCCAGGGAGGGTTCCTGGCTTCTGCCAACAGTAAGATTCCCATGGCTGCTCTGGAGTTGACCCCACCAGCACAGAGGGAGGCCTCTGCTGGCAAGCCATTGGTTCTTCCAGACAGGGTGCGGCCTCCTGCTGTCACCATGACACACATCTCTCCTACAACCACAGACAACTAAGGTACCTTGGACTTAGAGGCAGGACGGGATGACTGCCATCCGAACCACTTTCCCAGGATGCTTAGTAGGCTTCTTCCCGACAGGTGCTCCTCTTTCCGGTGCAGTGTGATGGTGAATGGCAGGGCTTACAAGTTGGGTTGCTAAGGTTTGAATCCCAACTCTGTCCATGTGAGGTTGCTGTGGGGTTAAATGGCACAATTGGTGGAACGGCTTAGAACAGCACCTGAGTCTGAGTAAATGTAGAATCCTCTCAGATTTGATTTCTGCCTTCCCAGGCACTGGGCCCACCCTCTTACCCTCTCCCAGAGGCTCCAACCTGCCTGCCCTGCTGGGGCAGTGCCCCTGCTCTGGGTTGCTCCTCCCTTCACCCTAGTGAAACCCGCGTTCAGCTGCCAGGTGGAAAAGGGTCCACTATTCCCAAATCCACCGAAGGATTTAATGCACTGTCCAACAGAAGCATTTTTATTCCATAGGATGGCAAAACTTTAGCGACAAGGAACAAATTCCTAGGAGGGAATCTCAGAAATTCTTGGTCTGCAGGTAGAAAAGGTTTTTTATAATGTGCAGGAGAGTAGTAAAGAAGAGAGGAGGAAGTAGACCAGGGCCTCGTAACTTCACGTTGATTTTAGGATAAGAAGAGCACATGTGACAGGTTTTGTAGGTCGAGTCAAGAAGTATGGAAGAGATGATACCACAAAGTTCTTTCCAGAAAAAGTAGCGTTGACAGGAACCTGATATTCACAGATGGGGGCCAAGATATGGAGACCCTGCTGGCGGCACTCACCAGCCCAGGGTTACCTGGCCACCAGGCTGGCCCACAGGCCCATGGGCTCTGGAGTCTTTGGTGAAGGATGTTGAAGCTAAACTTTTACTTCCTTGTGCTTTTCATGTATCCAAGGGCACAGGCAACTTAGAGACACCTGGATAAGTCTGTTCTCTTCAATTTCCTGGGACCAGCACAGCCACATCAATTATCTCTCTGTCCCTCTTCACCTCCCTTACATCTCCTCAGACAATCACACATACTCCCACCTTTACTAGATTTCAGAAAAAGGAACTAGACAAAACACAAACTCTAGAGACCATGAGTGGCCGGGTGATGCTGGCCAGGAGCAATCATATGTGCCCACAGATAGAGGCACGATGCATCACCAAAGGCTCACGGCTTGTGCTCTCTGCAGTCTGCCATCTTGCTGGTGGACAGTGACAATCCCCTTCCTTTCTACCTCATACTCAGGTCACCATAAGCTTGTCACCGGCCATTCAGTGCTGAAAAGGACTAGTCAGAAGGGACTGAAGTAGACTGAGGGAATCCAGGCACCCCTGGCCCCCACCAGATGGAACATTATCCTCTTGCGATCTTAATGGCCTCCCTGCGGCAAGGGGAGCCTCTGCCCCCTGCCCATCAGCTAAGTAGCCCATCCAGGGCTCCAGTTCCTGGAGGGAGGACCTTAGCTTGTTCCAACTAACTTCATGCAGCACAAAGCCCAGCCCATTTCTGTGTAGCTCTGGGCATTTAAGAAATGCTTTTAATGATGATGATGCAACCCTCTCCGCCTAGATCTGTCAGGGTCCCTAAGGCATGAAATGGTCCCCTGAGAAACATATATTATCTGAAGCTTTCCCTTTTGCTTAATTGTATTGTACTAATGTTCTTTTCCACAGGATTTCTCCTCCCCCAACTCCTCCACCCAGCTTCACTGGGGTTGGATTTACATAAAAGACCAGCACGTTATAATTGTGATGATTGATCACTGAAGTTTCCTTGGGTTCAGATTGTTTCCTAATGTGGGTCATTTTTCATCATAAAGAGTCGGCTGATAATGATGTCATTTCCATTGCTTGAATTTCGAGGCAGTGGCCACATATCAGAGTTTAAATGACTGTCTATAGGGCAGCAAAATCGTGTCGTTATCAGTTTGAAGCAGTCACAGCTTTACTCCTGGGGACAAAACAAGAATTGAGGCCTCCTAAAACTCATCAAATAAGAGCAGGATTCCAGGAATACAAATCTGTATCAGGAGCTGGGGAGGGGGAGGGGAGGCAGTGACGCAAACCCGCTTTGTGTGAAGCTGTGTGGCAGGCATCAAATAAAAACAACAAAGTCACACCTGACAGAAAATAAGCCGCATTGCTGATCATAGGATATCTTAAATGTGCTCTCCCACAATCATTTAACTGTGATTCCATGGCAAGATTAACAAGCAAGAATTGAAATCACTCATGAGGGGGCCTTTGGAATAAAACCCATGTACCAGACAAGCCCATCAATGCACCTCCCACTAAGTGAGTGGGACCGGGACAGATCTGGAAAATGACCTCCGTTTTTGTGTGTGAAATATGGAAATGAAATGATGTTATATGTGTTATATGTGTTTAAAACCAATAGCTGCACCATTAAAATCCCACAGCTTGCACATCCTAAATCAATGCTGCCCAGATGTTGTTTTCCGCCATTTGCTTCTAACCACCTTCCCACACAGCTCTGCCTTCTGGAACCCCTCCAGGATGTCCTGAAGATGTTGAAAGTTGTCAGCTCAACCTTAGTCCTACTTTCCATGGCCTTTCTCATTCAACCCAACATATTTTCCCTCCTCTGCACTCTTTATTTGGAAACATTTCTAACTTAAGAAAAATTATAAGAAAAGTAAAACAAACACTGCTTCACCTAGATTCACCACTGGTTCCCACAGTCTCAAATTTGCTTTACCTCTCTGTAACAATATATATACATATTATCATTTAACCATTTGAGAATGAGGTGCTTTACCTATGCGACTTCATGACATTTCCATCCCTACACACATCAACACATCAGGGTGTATCTCAAAAGAACTAAAAGATTCTCTTCATTTCCATAGTACAGTTACCTTATTCAAGAAATTTAACATTAAAGGGCGCCCGGGTGGTTCAGTCAGTTAAGCATCTGCCTTCAGCTCAGGTCATGATTCCATCTGGGGATCAAGCCCCACATTGGGCTCCCCGCTCAGCGGGGAGTCTGCTTGTCTCTACCCCTCCCCACTTCCCCCCCCCACTCCGCACTTGTGTTCTCCCTCTCAATTAAATAAAATCTTAAAAAAAAAAAAAGAAATTTAACATTGATACAATGCTATTATCTAATATACAGTCCTTAACTTAGCTCTCCAGTTGTCCCTATAAAGTCTTACGTAGCTGATTTAAATGTGTATGTATATATATATATATATACTTAAGTTATATTTAATATAATCTAAATTATATATATATATAATATGAAATACAGAAATCGATACCTGTATCTCCAGGATTTAATCAAGGCTCTCACATTGCATTTAGTTGCCATGTCTCTTTACTTTGGTCTCCTTTTTGCTTTGTTTTGTTTTGGTTTTGTGGGACTGATTTGATCTTCACAGTATCAGTATAGACTCATTATTTTAAAAAAAAATGTATTTGTTAATATAATGGAGATATGTCAATAGGACATCAGATGTAGCTTGAAGGAATTCCCACTAGGAAAATGGACATAATTTGAACATCAAAATGGCTAATGAGAGTAATGGCTATATAAGACATTGGGGGGGAAAAGAATACATTCTGTTATGAAAAGAATAAAAGTGACAAGAAGGAAACAGGGAAGCTCTTCATTACAGAAGAATAATAAGTGAGGAAGGAAATTAGCGAATTACCATTTTATAACCATCAAAGTAATAATTCAGGCAAGAAACCATCACCTCCAGTCCATATTTAAATCTCCTCTCCCATACTGAGAACCCAAGTTCCCAGCAAACCCAGTACAAACCTGTTTGTTCAGTCCTGCAATGCACACATTTTCAATACTGCTACATCATTGCCATTACCAACAGCTTAAGTAAAGTTCAAGATTTCTTTGCAATTTTTGTTCTTAGGAAATATCATGCTGGGAATACACAGTCAGAATACTATGCTTAGATGTGACTTGAATATTTTTTCTAATGTGTGATTTTCATTTATTTGATATAAAGGTACATTCTTTTTCTGGTTGAATTCAATATCTATCTTTTTTCCATCTTTCATTTTTATTTAATTTTATTTTTTAGACATGTAAACCATTAACAGCTTATAAGTCAAAACCAAATCAAGAGGTATACTCAAGAGAGGTCCCTACTACCTCTTGCATTTGGTTCCATTCACCCCGTAGATAACTAATTTCATTAGTTTCTGGCTTTTCTTGTGTTTCTTTTTGTAAAAATAAGCAGTTTCAACAAAGGTGTTTTTTTTTTTTAAAGATTTTATGTATTTATTTGACAGAGCCAGAGAGCACAAGAGGGGGAGGGGCAGAGGGAGGAGGAGGAGCAGAGGGAGAGGGAGAAGCAGGTTCCCCACTGAGCAGGGAGCCAGATGTGGGACTCGATCCCAGGACCCTGATCCTGGGATCATGACCTGAGCTGAAGGCAGACGCTTAACCAACTGAGCCACCCAGGCACCCCTCAACAAGGGTGTTTAAAGCCATTAACAGGGGCCCTGGGTGGCTCAGTTGCTTGAGCGACTGACTCTTGATTTCCACTCAGGTCATGATCTCAGGGTTATGGGATGGAGTGCCTGGTCAGATCAAGCCCGCATTGGATCCGAGCCCCCTTCAGAACGAGCCCCCACCACTTGCATGCTCTCTCTCTCAAGTAAATAAATAAATACAATCTTTAAATTTTAAAAAAGCCATTAACATTTGCATCCCTTTTGTAATAACTGTTTTCAAATTTTGAAAGACTACGTGAGAAAATTCTAAAACGTAAATCCATTCCAAGAACATTGCTTCCCGTTTCCTACGTGGCATTAGAGGAAGTATCTTTCTTTCCTTTACAAAAGACATCAGAAAAGGTGAATAGTGGGGAACAGGAAGAATGAGGGAGGCCAAACCCTGCCATGTGACTTAGGGGGCTAAGCACCATCAAATTCTTCAAAATGTGTATTTTTTTAATCTGAGCAGCAAATGAGAGAGCAAATACTTGCCCCAGTACTGATTCTCTTGTCACTGGTATGATCAAAATAACCTGCCAAGCCACAGTACTTCTTAGGCTAAAAACAAATCTGATCATATTACTCTCCAGCTGAAAACCCTCCTATGCTTCCCCACTGCCTTCAAAATAATCCCCAAACTTACACAGTCTTCAGTAGGGTGCCTTCTCTGCACTTTGCAGGCTCGCACAAGTGCACACACACAC